CCGCCGGCGGGCGGGGCCCAGGCCGTGGCGCGGCCCGCCCTCCTCCAAAAACAGCCCAGCGACACCGCTCCGCATCCCTCCTCCAAAAACAGCCCAGCGGCACCGCTCCGCATCCCTCCTCCAAAAACAGCCCAGCGACACCGCTCCGCATCCCTCCTCCAAAAACAGCCCAGCGGCACCGCTCCGCATCTGTCCTGCGAGCACAGCCCCGGCGGCACAGACACCGCCCTACCCTCGCCACCCAGTGCCAGTCCAGGGAATGAATCCCTTTTTCTCCAGGAAGGCTCAGGATGGCTCTGCTCGCCCATGTGTCCCTCCTGTGCCTCCCCACCTGTGGGGAAAGCAGTGCTTCCCTTCAGGTAACAGGCTGAGCATCCTGTTGCTAAAATTTCCTTCCCTTTGCCTTGCCTAGGGCTTGGTGCAGCAGCGGTGCTGATGCCTGAGGAAGGAACAGGCCAAACAAATGTCTCCTGTTCCTTTGTGGTGTTCTGTAACTTCTTTCCACTGGTGTGGGGCTCCCCTTGCACAGGACACACCATCAATTCCTTTCAATAGCTTAAGAAAGGGGTTTTCAGAAACCCTGTTAAGTCTGTGCATATATTTCATCTCACACATATATCTTCAAATATCTTTTTAAAAAGGTGTTTAAAAATACCTTTGCTGTGGAGCTGAGAGAGGGTTTCAAGGCAAGGGAGAACAAGCTGCCAGCATGCCTCTGTGGCTGAGGTAGTCTACAAAGTCACATGTCTGACAAGAGAAACCAAAACGTACATGCTTTGAGCTTCAAGGGACACTTACAGCAAGCCACAGTTACCTGGCAACAGTTGATGAGACTTCTGAGAGGGCTGTTGCAGTGGGACATTGCTGTAATGTGCAGAGAGTTGTAGCTTGGTATGTCTGTGCAGGAGACGCCTTTCAATACAAGGTGTTACTGTTGAAAGGTACTAGTTTGTACAATTTGTAAATAGAACCTAAAGCATATATAAAATATGATTTCTGCAGTACAGGAGGTGAGTTCTAGTCAAGAGGATCTCTTGAGTTCTCCGAACTCCTTTATTTTATTTTATTTGAAGTGTTGTCTTTATTTGTAATGCTGTCTTGTAAAAGAACCATCCTCATTACATCACATCACTCACACCATATAAAGATATCCTTCTTAACTGGATCATGTCAGTTTCTGTTTTGCTTATCATGCTTGTATGGTGCTTCAAACTTTGTTCTTTTAGCAGGTACTCTCTGCTTGAACAGTAAGTTAGGAGCTGGGGCTATTTGCAAAGGGCATCCCGCCTAAAGGGGAAATGACCCACTGTTGTATGAAGTGACAGAAAATGGCTGAAGGTGAAGCATGGTTAAAAATGGAATACAGTAGATCCTGTTTCATATTGTCTGTACAATCTAATCTACTTTTAATCTACCTTAACTGATAGTTCAGTGCTGCTTGTGGTGACATACAACTATTTTATCTATTCTCTTTTTCTGTTTTTCAAAATGGTACCACAAAATGTTTTCTTTTGAGTTTTGAAACCCCCCAGTATTGAACACAGAGCTGTTAGATAAGCTGAACAGGATGTATAAAAGAAAACTAAATTGGTGCTAATGACCCAGTGTGTGATACAGCATTCTTACCTGTCATATTTTCTCTTTGTAAATTAAGTTCAGGCATTCTCTTAAGTTTCTTCCAGACCATCTGCAGCAGCCCAAGAGTTAATCTGGGAGAAAGGCCAGTTTGGTACTTTATTCTGTGTTTAAATTCTATTCTGAAAGTTCATGGGCAATTTTGTTGTTGTTATTAAATAGTTTCTCCTCAAGATCACAACTCTTGGAGGCTTTAATCTCTTTCAAATCCCCTGAATCAGTAGGAATTGAAATTGATTAGTGCTTCTCAGTGTGAAATAGCTGACAAGAGCAAGCTTTGAGAATTTTTGCTCTTGTTGGTATTGGCATCTGTTGTTTCTCCTGGGTGCTTTGTGTCTTTTCACTTAATATATAGTTATAGGGATAGCTGAGTATTTGGGTGGTGTGTTTTTGTGTTAGTCGACATCAGGCCTAAATGTCAATTGTGAAGACTTGTATGATAAAGATAAATCAGACCTTTCTTAATGATGACCGTATAGCAGAATGTGTAGTAAAGTGGACCAAGGTCTAAATTAATCTTCAAATTTATAAAGCCAGACATTGTACTGGATTCATATCTGAGAGAATTGGAATACTGTAGCAATACTCTTTGCTATTCCCAATGTACAAATGCATAAGCCAGGAAGATAAGAAAAGGTTCACCAGTAGTTATATCAGTTTGTTTAGACACTATTCTTCTTGCTTTATGTTAGTATTAACAAATGCTAAGGTCTCTTTTGAGTTCAGATCAGGAAAAAAAAAAAAAGTTGTTTTTTTTACTTCCTGTAGATTAAGGCATTATTTAATAATATACACAGGTATAACAGCTCTGAGATGCCTTTGTGTTTATCACTATCTGTCATTTTTTATCTGTAGCTCCAAAACCCTAACTGTTTTTCCAGTTCACTGTGAGCAGCAGTGGATACTGGCATTGTCCAGCCAGTCACAGATGCTTTAGACAGTCACAGAATCACAGAATATGCTGAGTTGGAAAGGACCCACAAGGATCATTGAGTCCAGCTCCTGGCCCTCCAGAGCACTATCCCCAAGAGTCACACCATGTGCCTGGGAGCATTGTCCAAATGCTTCTTGAACTCTGTCAAGCTTAATGCTGCGACCACTTCCATGGGGAGTCTGACCACCCTTCAGGTGAAGGACCTTTTTTGATGTCCAACCTAAACGTCCCCTGGCACAACTTTAGGCCATTCCCTTTTGTCCTATCACTGGTCACCAGAGAGAAGAGATCAGTGCTGTCCCTCTTCCTCTCACATGGAAGTTGTGACTGTAGTGAGGTCTCCCCTCAGTCTCCTGTTCTCCAGACTGAACAGGCCAAGAGACCTCAGCTGCTCCTCATACAGCTTCCCTTCAAGGCCTTCACCATCTTTGTTGTGCTTCTTTGGACACTTCTCTATAGTTTTAATGCCTTATATTGTGGTGGCCAAAACTGCACGTGATATTCAAGGTGAGGCTGCCCCAGAGCAGAGCAGAGCGGGCCAATCCCTCCCATGCCCAGCTGTGATGCTGTGCCTGCTGCCCCCCAGGACACAGCTGGCCCTCCTGCCTGCCAGGGCTGCTGATCACATTCAACTCACCAGCGAGCAGGACCCCCAGGTCCCTCTCTGTGGCACTGCTCTCCAGCACATCACTCCCCAGTCTGTCCGTACATCCAGGCTTGCCCAATCCCAGGTGCAGAACCTGGCACTTTCCCTTGCTGAACTTTATATGGTGGGTGATTGCCCAGACCTCTAATTTGTTGAGGTCTTTCTGTAGGGCCTCCCTGCCTTTGAGGGAGTCAGCAGCTCTTCACAGTTTTGCATCATCTGTGAGCTTGCTTAGTATCCGAGTCCTGCCTCTTTTCTGGGAAGACATCAAACCAGTTGCTTGGTGGTTTTGCCTTGGTCTTTGTTACAGAATTAAGCTTATTGGCTATAGGCCCAGAAAACATAACCCAAATTATACATTTATAATTTATTAAACTTAATTCTTTAGAGGTTCTTTAGATAACTGCTCATTGAAGATAGCTGCTGAAGTAAGTTTAAAATAATGGATTCTATCTCATATGCCTATTATTATTTTTGAAGCCTGTTAGAGGAGAGAAATTATGCAAATTGGTGTCATGCTAGGCTACTGCATACATGCTGGTAATGCATAACAACTAGCTCACTGATGAAAATGCTTCATCTTAAGCAAGAAGTCATTGTCAGCGCTAAGAGAGATTCTTCATATCATGATTAATAGTTTATTATTTTTCTTAAGGATAAAAGAGAGTCTCTCTTATTAAAAATCTGCATTAGAATAAAACCGCTGTAACTGCTGTAAAATAAATACTGGAGGATTATGGTGATGAATTATGATGGATTGCACTATACAATTAAGGTATATTGTGAAACAATAGGAAGATCCCTTCAAAATAATAAGTAGTTATTGCTCACTCTCTGTGAAGGATGAAGTGGCTTTAATTCTTCAGCTCCTGCTTGTAAAAGACTTGATAAATAGATCAAGCTCAATATCAATTAGTAACACAACGATCTTTAGCATTAACAAAGCGAAGCTGCTAGGATTGAACCAATTTATTTGTAGCTCCATGACCGCATCCTAAGCTAACAGACACTACACACACTACTGTTGTCTAATACTGGGCACGAGAAGGAGTACATGGAGCACACAATTCTGTGCAGGATTGGCTGAAACAAGCTCTCCCTGTGAGGAGGCTATCTTGGTGCTGAAGAATTCTGATACACTTAGCAGGACAGAAATTCAATATAAGATAAGCTGGTTTCAGAAAATAGGTCACTAATGTAAGGTTGTTTTATTCCAAAGTTTATCCTACATCTGTCTTAGATTTCTTCTTCCTCGTCCATGCACAAAGCTTATCAAACTTTCTGATTAAGACTGCAGTGAAGAGCCTGGTTTTGGTCTGTGGGTCATCATTCTGTTGCAGCCCTTCATCCTTCCATTTTAGCACTAACAAATGTATTTTGTTTGACCTGTTACATTGCTACTGAAGGAGGAAGAGAAAACCTTCTCAGGTATTGATTTTTCACACATGGGGAGTGCACCTGGTAGTCACCTGTTTTACCACCTGTAGTTTATAACTGAATGGGCTCATGGAATTATAAGATTTATTTTAGAGTTGAGTTCACAGCTTGAGGTGGAACTGATGTGTTAGCTGTTAGTCATTTTTAACTGCTATAGTGTATTTTGCTTGTTGGAATTCTATTTCAATAGCTAATATTTCTGTAATAAGAATGTCACTGATCAGAACTGATTGTTTGAGTTGGTCTTCTTAACAGGTTTTCAGATATTTGGATCTGGTCTTGGAAAATAATTTCTGCTTAATAATGTTTAACTAATTTAATAATCATGCTAACTGACTAGGTACATGATTTTACAGCATTTGGTCCATGGACTTGAAGATATAGAACTGATTAATAAGCAGTCAGATACATGAAATGTATTGTAGCTCTGTGTGAATGGTCAGGGACTTTCTTTTCAGCAGTACTCAAAATTTCAATAGAAGTTTTTTTTAATTCTCTTTTAGTAGCAAGATACTCTCTACCTCACAGGATAAGAGGACTCTCAAAAATACTTGGTTTAGCACATGCAGGAAATGATGTTTAGAAATAATTTCATTCTCAGCAAAGCATTTGGTCTTTCATCACTGAATATAATTTTCTGTGTTAGTCCCAGTTACTTTCCTAAATGCACCATGCCTACTAGAAAACCTTGGAAGTGGAGGCTTAGGAGAGAGGGGGGGACGAGAGAGGAGTAGGAGGGAACACAAAGGAATTAAGTGAGTGGGGAGAGTAAGAGAGAGAGAGTGGGGAGAACACAAGAGACTGAAGATCTGTTAGAATCCAATATATCTGTTTCTATATTGAATATCCTAATTCCCAGTAAACAATTATTACGAGACACAACCACAAAAGAATTTACATATAGCCTATAAGAACTACTACATTACCACACAGCTTAACATTTCAAATTCTAAAAGCTTTACAAATTCTTCCCTTACTGCTTTCAGATTCTCTATCTGCAGAAGGACATTCTTTCACCAACATTGATTCTCCTTTAGCTGGCGAGGCTATTGTTCTTTGGATATTTATTATATTAGCTCTCAGTATGGCATGACTCAAAGCTAGCTCTCATTTCTACTTCGATTCTAGGCTTCATATTTTGAGAGTCTTTACCTAAAAAATCATATTCATAAGGTTTCCCTGTTTCATCCTGCCAAAAGATCAGAGACAGCTGCCAAGCAAAAAGTTATGGAGAGAGCTATTTTGTGGCAGTTTCCTTTTTAGTTTGGCAGGTCTATTATAGCTGCACAGTGGCTGAAGCTCTGGGCTTTGTGGTTTTCTGAACCACCAATTCCCAATCCCCTACCTTATCTGCAGGTGGAAAAGAGCCATCGGTGCTGTGGGTGCTGGACTGATGGATGTGGATTGCAGCTGATGCCCGAGAGGTGTGAGGGAAGGATTCTGTTCATATGGGACCAGGGTTGCACAGTTCTCAGTGGGTTGTTCACAGTCTCGAAGCCCTGGTTTGTGGCAGCTTAATCTGCTGGCTTGAAGTCAGATTTGATTTCCCCGCAGCATTCTCTCCTGCATGTTACTTTGCACTTGCCAAATTAGAGATCAAAATTTATTTTTATTTATGTTCCTCTACAACAATTGTTAAAGGATTAATCTTCCAGAGATTCTCTTAGACTTGCATTTCACTGGCAAGTATTTCTGTGGGCAAAAGTTGAGGTTATTCTCAGCCGCAGGAATTCTTGCCATTTCCACAGCTAATTAAAATAAAACTTCTGCTGGTGGAACAAATGCTCCAAAAAATGCTGAATTTAGATTGGAAAACTTATTATTTTATATAAAAAGGACTGAAAAAAAAAATTGCTGTGTAGAAATTCTTTCACATGTTCCACATGCCCTCATTCATCAAATTGTCAGGAAATGTACCATACATAGGAAAAAAAAAAATTAACCCCAAAATCTTCACGTTTTCAATCTCATCAAAGGACTGCTCCTATACAATTTTGATGAACACTACATTGCCAGAGAACCTACAGAAAACATCTGCTAGAGCATCTCTGACTTGTCCCTCTATTACTATGCAATACTTTCTACCTCCTTGCTTATCTTAGCCCAGCTCCAGCTGCCCCTGGAGCTTTCAAAGACCCAGGTAATGGGTCACCTGCAGTAGTGATGCTGTGCAGGAAACAATTCCCCTTTATAAATGCAGTGTATCACCTCTGTTTTATGAATAGCAGTTAATCTGTGAAGTTAGTTTGCTGCCAAATAAAAATAGGGATAGTGGCTCATGCTCAGGCAGTCTGTAAAACAGCTGCAACTGCAGCCTTTTGTAAGACAAGTGCAGCATCTTATTTTTAAACACTCACATCTTTGGCTGCTCCTGCACACTGCTCTATCTGAATAACACGGTGTTAGTGGGAATAGAGGAATCAAACATGAGGAAACATTTGATTATTCATAGATGTCTTTTCCCATTTGCTTCCCTCCCTCTCTGCTCGTTTTCCTCATGCAGGAAAGTGCTTGAGCTGCCTAAGAGAAGGTTTGGAGTTCCTCTGGACCGGATTGGAGTGAACCACCTTGGCAACACCAGGGGTTAGCAGTTCCTGCAGGTGAGCCAAAGTATTCCAGGTGTGGGCAGGCTTGGAGAACCCACCTGTTCTCTGTTGCTGGAGGTACTCAGTCATGTCAGCAGGCTCGGGAGGAGTGGTTCAGGGAATGATAGCTTCTTAGAACATGGAATGTCCTAATTTTCCTAATTCTAGAGAGTGCCTCTCTACAAGCAAACAAGTATTCCTAACATTAACATCCTCTAGTCTACCTTACAGTGTGTTTGCCCAAGCCTTCCATTTCTGACATTGGAAAATGTAATTTTACTGCTCTTTTTTTGCCTGCAGATGCTTCTATTCTGAATGAGTGATGCTGCATTGGAAACATTACAGAGATATGGAAGATGCCTCATAGCATGTCTTGTTTTTGCCTAATGATATGACACTCAAGGAACTGACCTCCTGCAAAATCTGTTTCAAGCTGCATTTTACAAATGTTGCATTTATAAATAATAACATATTCAGTTCATCAGGTCAGAATGCTCTCACAGATATGCACATTGGCATGGTAGGAGGGAACAAAGAATATGTATATATTTTTATTGCATGGCATTTATCTGTTAAACTTGCAAAATTTTATTATCCTAGGCAGGACTGAGATTTTTTGGATTGAAAATAAAACTTCTAAAGGTACAAACAGCAGTCCATGAAAAGCAGAGAGTTTGCTTTGCACATTTCTTTCTGGAGGGGAGCTGTTTGGTAGATGAAGGGAGGATAGAACAGTTATGGGACAAAGCTAGAATGCGTTTGAACTGCTGTTTGGGAGGAGATGTTTTCTGCCTTCACTAGGAGTTAGTCTGAATAAGAACAGTGACAAGACCTTAGTATTTTTCTTGATGTCTTGAGTAGTCTCTCTCTTATCTCTGCAGCATATTTAGATATGTTTTCATTGTATGGCAGATCCTGAAATGTGGTGAGACTTTTAGTGGATGAATACATTTCACTCCTCCCTATGCATAACAGAGGATAGTGTCCAAATATGAAGTCATCTACTTCCAAGGCCATCTGCATTATATGCCTTATTTTATCCTCTTGATGTATGCACAAGGCATGGTCAGAATCCAACTCTAAAAGTTCAAGTATTTCTCACTCTGGCAAAATTTAAACATGTCCTCTCCATTTCATAATGAAACAGCTTGTCTTAAATCATCTTTCATCCTTTTCACTCCTTTCCAGATTATAAAGTATATCTGAGAAGAGCTGTCTGCTGACATCTCAATGCTCAGATTCCTAGCTGATGTTTTCTAAACCTCACATTCTCTCTCTGTTTTGGACTTGGGTCCACATCAGCTAAATTCCTCAGATTGCTGTTCTTGGGTATAAATCACCCTTAGCATTGCAGAAGAAGATCCATTGAGAAAGGCATTATGCAGAATTAAGGGAAAAAAAAATATTCTTGCCAAACACCCTGTGTTAGGCAGGAAGTAATGCTGGAGATGGGAATTAAGTGTTAATTTCCTGATCTTGTATGAGGCAAAAAGTACCTGGCCATCAGCTAGCAAAATGGGGAGAAATAGAGTCAGCTCCAAAAAAAAAAAAAAAAAAAAAAGTACTTTGGAAATCAATGAGAGTTAAAAGCTACTGTAAGGGTTGGGATTTCGGGACAATTGCCCTGGTTCAGCCATGGTGGGACATGAGGCTCCCACTCAGAAGGTCAGGTAATATCTAATTCATGTGCTCAGACATAACAAGGGCCTTTCCCATTTTCCTCCTTGCCTACAGCACTGCCCAGAGACCAAGACTGGCCCAGGCTTAGAAAATATGCAAGAAACTTCACTTTTATTAATATTTCTAATATAGGCTGATGAAGCTGAGAGCAGTAGCACAAACCAGTGACTCACATCAAGAGGTGTCCCCACCTTTGCCATCTGCCAGAGCACTGCAGCTGAGTTAGGAGATCATTCTCCTTTCAGTGAGTGAGCTGACAGTGTTTGTGTGTGAGGTGAAGCATTGCAGATGCTTTCCAGACCAATCTCTCAAAAGTCAGAGGAAAAAAGAAGGCCTGTAAGTCCATATGTGATGATCTTTGGTTTTTGCTTCCTGCTTTTCTCCTCATCCCACTGCTGATTTTCTGCCTTTAAGCTCCCCTGTGAAGAGAACTGGACTCTGGGTGCCTGTAGACTGACTGACTCAAGGGTTTCAGTCCATGCTAGAAGCAAGCCTGCAAATGCAGACCCAGGCAATCCTCTGCAGGGCATTGCCACCATCCATCCTGAGCCTGCCCTGCAGTTTAGGGAACATTTATCTTCTTGCGCTGAGCTCATCCAGACAAGCTGCAGATAATCTGCTTGCAGGGCAGCCATATGCATGGGGCATGGGCAGATTATGGAAGTGGTGACCTGACCACTCAAACAGTTGCCAGTCAAAAGAGCCATGGGCAGTCAGTGTGTGATGTATTTTTTGAGGCTGAGACCAGAGGTATCTAGTGCTAACACAGCAGCTTTGCAAAGATACTGCCAGATCATAGAAGTGTTTAATAATTGGCAGGTATTAGCTGGGGCTTCCAGAAAAAAAAGCAGGGTTTTAAAGGCTGAAAGTAGTGTTCAGAAATGGCCTTCATCTGAAGGAAAATGTGAAAGCAAAGCAGGACAGACAGGTCTCTGGTGGTGTTGGTAGAACTGGGAGCTGGAAGCTTCAGTCCTGCTTCCACCCCACTGTGTGGATTGTGTGGGAGAAAGCAACAGTCCTTCTGTTTTGTCTCATCCATCACTGAGCACACTGAGACTTCCTGTGGCTCAAGAATCACTCTTAAAATCTGTAAATTAGCAAGTGCTGTTTCAAATATGATAATGTCTGAAAGGCCAAACACCACAATTTGTTTTTGTAGGCAATGTTGGATGGATCCAGCCATTGTGCACAGCATGAAGATCAGCAAACGTGAAATGAGGATAAACTGCAGCATCCATTGCACACTAACTTGTCCTGTGCTGCCTGGATTTGCAAATCCATTCAGATGTCTCTGAGAATTTTCTTCTAATAAATCCACATGATCTACTAGAATGTCTCAGGGAAATCCATTTAATTATTGCCTGTGGCTCATTAACTTAGTGAGAGTGACTGCCCGGGCATGGGTAGAGTGTGGTGAGCAGTTACTCTGTGTAGGAGAAGGGTTTCTGTTCTGTGTGTTTAGGAGAAAGAACAGGACTCCCACAGTGTCATGTAGAGGCTAAGCCTTGGAGGGGGGAACACCACCTCTGCTTCTAATTAGTTAATAAATTGCATTCAATACATGCTTATCTCTGCAGCACAAGCAGCTAATACAGCAGCAGAGTGCCTGTCAGGAAATAGGGGGTAGTTTGGGTAACACAAGCACTTAAATAACTGCACAGATAGGATGTAGCAGAAAATCACTACTAAGCAGCATGATGCATTGCACTCCAGGGAATTCCTGTCTAGGGTCAGAGCAGGCTGTTAAATATCCGCAGACACGGTATTCGTTTTCCTGACTTGCTGGTGAGTTGTCACACCGGGTCAGGAAGGCATGGCCACAGCAAACAGGTGACAGATGGAGCCTGCTGCTCTGGCCTTTCCTTGCACTGCGATTTCCTGCAGGCTGAAGTCATCTGAGCTCAACACCAGCTTGCGGCAGGGCAACTCTTGGAACACACCTCTCTTTCAGCTGGAGCACCAAACTTTTAAAGAAGGAGAGAGACTATTCTTGTCCACAGGGTATAATTTTTTCCTGGATTTGGTGCTAATGTAAGGATATGTGAAAGTGTGGTCCCACGTACTTTTTCACTCACACAAAAGCAACAGAAAATGGGAAATGTGTCCTGAATCACCACCAAAGAAATAACAAACAACTAATGGTATCAGGAAACAGTATTTTGCATATCATTTGCAAGTCATTAGACTTCACTGATATAATCAAGCAAGCTGGCTTTATTCCCTAGATGCTGGTTTTGGACTGCAACAGGATGAATAGGTCTCCTGTTAATGAAGTACATGCAAGGTACTGCTGAGGTAAGCATGTGCTTCTTGCCAGAGCCCAAGGCAATGAGTGTAGAATGGCAATTACAGCTTTGGGGAGGTAACATTTGGAAGAATATGTAATATGCAAGCTGCAGTTAAATCACATGGCTCAATAGAGCTGGAGAGACAGTTCAGTGCTAGTCAAAATCATTCCACACAGTCACAGTGGCTACCAGATCCTGCTCTCATTTATGTTGTTGGAAACCTCAAAGTTAACATCAGGATTTATTTTGAATTTACATTTTCGGGAATTAGGTCCTTTGGTTTTGCAAATAAATGTAGGTAATGTGACTTGAAATGAATATACGCAGGAATCACTAATGGATTGTGATCTTTTCCTTTTGGACAGGGCCAGATATAATTCTGCAGTAGAAAAGGCCAGCTAGCACCTGCCAGATGAACCAAAAATCTCTTCTCAAAACATCTCTTTGGAGTGAGTGGGTAAAAAAACCAGTGGGTCTGGTCCAGTCCAATGAGGACAGTATCCCATAAATACCTACGAAAAAGACCCAGGTCTCATTCCCGATCCTGGCCAAAAGGAAGGGTCTGTTTCCCAGGCACATTCAAACCCTAGGTGTTTAATGGGAGCCTTTCTTCTATTGTGAACTCCACATGAACCATTAAGGTAATAAGAGCTGACATCAAGGGAAATGTGCTGCACTTTGGGTCGCTGCAGGGGCTGAGAAAGCAAATAACACATGCTTCTGTGCAACAAAAAATCTTTATTGGAATGGTATCCAAAGGATCCAGAGCTGTCTGCCTGCCCTCCCCTGTGCACACTGTGGGACATGGCGAGGAGCAGCTCTGGCTCAGCAATCCAGCCCTGAGCCCTTCACATCACACCCAGCCTGCCTTGTCCCAGCAGCGGCCACCAGGGCAGCACCGACCTGCCCAGGAGGCGACAAGAAACCCAGAGACCACTGAGAGCAGAGCCTGCAGGGGTGGCCAGAGCCCCAAGCCCAGGGAAGCTGAGTCAGTGTCCATTGCCTCAGGGGACCCGGTGAGAAGGGGGAGAGTGTACAGTGGTAGCAGCCTGAATGGCACACACAGGACAGCACAGAAAGTTGGGAAGCATCTTCTGAGTAGAAGACCATGGTAGGTTAAACCTGGAAGAGAACACGAGAGAGTGGCAGTGGGCTGCCAGCTCCTGTCACGGCCCCTGCTAGTCTTGGCTGTGGTGCAGTCGTGGAGGATGGCTTCCAAATTAGCAGCACGATGAGGGAACAGAACAAACTCTTAACACATTAATACCCAGCGAGGCAGTTTGGGGAAGGGCTTATCTTCACCCTCCAGTCCTCACAAGCCTTCAGATGCAGTATTTCCAAAAGCAGGCTGTGAAGGAATACAAAAAAAAAGATGTCAGCATACAAGGGCCTTTTTTCAGCTCCCCACTCTAGCCCTGGAGAAGGTTTCAAAAGACCCATGTGTTGAGAGAGCTGGAGCATGCAGTCAGCATTGTGCTTTCAGGACACATCTCAGTAACCAGCTTTGAGTTCATATAACACTTTTAGAAGATGTTCCTTTTAGCTACTCCTAGTGTAAACATGGGGTATAAGTTGTCTTCATGTTTCTTGATTTAAAAGGTTTCCTTTTGTTCTAATTCAGCAATGTCAGGAACCAGCTTTTTCTTTCCTGTTTACTGGTCAGCAGTTTTGCTGCTTCAGGGGTGTGTGCAGGGGTTTTCACCTGTGGCTGACTGGAAGAGCAGGATACTGACTTGGAGAGATTGGATCTGGTTCTCACTCTTTTTTAAACTCAGTCACTACCTTTCTGCTACCAACCATCTTCCAAACAACACTGATTTCTGTAGAATCTTTAAACAAGACTAAATTAGGGAAAGATGCATATTTTGGTGTTGGAAAAAGTAACTGTATCACAACCAGCGTGAATCCCATGTGAGTTTCCTGTTATCAAGTATGATAAGAGATTTATACCTGGATTTTGAAACCGGGATCTTGGAAAAAATCTCCTACTGAATCAGCAGTGCTCATGCTGAGACATGAGCTCCCCCCAGACTGGAAGGACATTAGATGAAGACAACAATTCTCTGCTTTCATTTATGTCAGAATCTGATTTAAACATGGCAATGGGAAGTAGTTTTATCTACATTAAACCTTCCAGACTGGTGGGGGCATGAATTGCAGTAGCCAAATTGATGACAGCCTCCAGGGGTGCTTATAAATTGCATATTGCCTAAGGATCACCTAAGCATCTAAGCAAGCCTTGCACAAAGGGATTTTCTCTTGGCTGTCTGGCAGTTGTCAGCTTTCATGTGCACAGAACATGTGGGCTAAGGGCAGAACCAGCTCTTTTGTTTTAGGCCAGATCTATCATCAGTGACTTCTGGTTCACAGCTGCTACTGCTTTGTGGAGGAATCCATTGATAGCCAGCATGAGCAGCATTGTCCATGTGCTTGTCAGGGGCAGCTTCACGGGGGCACTGGTGCAATATGCTCCTGAGTCACTGGATACAGACTGGACAAAGCTTGGAGACCAGCTGGGGGACATACCAGATCTTAGTTCCCTGCATTCTTGGTTGATTTCCACATCCTTTTTAGCTGTTTTTCAGCAGCAGACAAGCGCTCCTTTTTTCTCTGTGGGGAGGCACTGACCTTGGCAGAGGGGAATGCCTGCAGTCCACATGCCTCATTATGCCTCCAGCAGTTGCTTTGAGGCCAGAGAAAGGAGAGGGGTACATGGTGGGGACATGTTCATACAGAACTCCCCCACTCCAGGGCAGCACTCATGGCTCATATAACCCCCCATTCCTCTGTGAGAAGCAGGATGTGACACTGCCTGCCTCCACGAGGTCCTGGGCGTGCAGACCTGGTGTATCTGCCTCGACAGCAGACAGAATTGGGGAACACAATCCTGCTCACCAACTGCTAAACCAGCCAGCCATAAGAGAAGGCCAGGACTGCTCAAAAAGCTGCCAGCCAGCTGTTTTTCAACATATTTGGGGCATGTTTACTGTGGCTGTCTTTGTTGCACAAAGGAAGCCCTGGAAACGAGAGTGGACAGGATGGCTGCAAGGCTCAAATTCAAAACCTACCGCGTTTTTTGGGCTGGGATGCTGAGAGACTTTCCAAGGCATAGGCCACCTCTGACCCATCCTCAGCTGAGAGCTGATCCTTCAACTTCTCCAGCTGTTTAAACACAAACACAGCAGTAAACAAGGGCCCCTCCATGTGGAGCTCCACAGAGTGCTGGGAAATGCAGGGCAAAGGGGCTACATGTAGATTGGCTGGCAGCATCACTGGGAAGGATAGAGTGTTCCCTGGAGCAGGACCATTCCCAGAGGATCTGCCTTTGGAGCACTCCTACCCTCATGGCCTCCTTCATTAAGCTGCTTGTTTGGTGGCAGTGGTGTGGGCACTCCCTGCTCTTTCCCCCCACTCTCTGTGTGAGTCCCTGTGGAGAGGAGGCTGTGTAGGAGATTGCAGGACGGAGAGTCAGGACAGTGCTGGGGCAGGAAGTCTGCAGGCGTCCAGGCACTGCAGCAGAGGGCATTGCTACTCCATTGCCCTTGGTTGTCCTTCCTCTCTCTCCCTCACAGTTCTTCCCTTGGTTATAATGTGGGCAGTCTGCTGCACTTTCTCATCTTTAGCTACTCTCTTCCTGTGGACTGGGAACACCTACAGCCTTTATCCCAACTTTTGCTCTGGCAGAGCTGCTCTCAAAAAGTCAGGGCTTATGTCCCCCAGCACTGGAGCGAGAGGCTAGTGTAGGGCCTGGCAGCCTCCTGTCTGGCATGATGCACTGGGGATTTTTCAGTCTGAAATTAAAAGTGCCATGTGGAACTTAGCAGGACCTCCAGCACCCATGCAAACAGCTGGAACAACTGAACCTGGCCTGAGAAGGGGAAAAAAGTACTTCCACTGCTTGCAGGGTTTGGAGCACAGTGGGAGTCACGCCGAGGTTGCTGCAGACCTTTCCCTGTTCCTGAACAGCAGGTGTAGGTATTTGTATATGTGTGCTCTGATAAACCCAGAAGGGCTCTGACCTTGGGTAGGGCTGCTCTTACAAGCAGAGAAAAAATTCTGGTTTAGGCAGGCAGTGGCTTTCCCTCCAACTTCAACCTGTTACCTAATGCAGCCAGCTCATACAATGCCTAGGAAGGCAGCACAACCCCCTCTTCCCACTCCCTTTTCTCCTATGGAGATGTCCTTTGGTGCTTAATTCTTTCTTGGCTTGGCCTTCCCTGGCCTTTCACTGGTGACAGAGGCAGGAGCTGATCAGCTTTTATTTCACCAGTCTATAGCCCTGTTCTCTTTTTGCCTTTTCCAGCTTGTGCAGATGTTTAGCCCAGGTTCTGCTTTTCCCTTTTCTCAATCCATGGTTAAATTATAGCAGCAGGGGGAAGGGTAGCAGGATGCAAAGATGGAACGATAGGGTATAAAGACAGCTTACAAAATTGTTTAACTACCCATGCAAGAACATGCATCTATGTGTCTGTGCATTTGCTCCTCTCACCTCTTCGAGCTCTTCAAATTTCCTTGCCAGCTCCCAGTCTGCAAGAGGCGAGAGAGTAACATCAGCATCTGCATTGCTTCCCAAAGCTCAAATTAAAAACCATTTCTTCATTTGCTCTCTCCAGAGGGCAAAGACAAGTTACAGCAAAGCTAAGACCTAGTTATCATTTAACTCCTGCTAGTGATCTTCAAATGAATGACAGCAGAAACAGACAGAAAAGCCGGTTTTCTCTGCTGAACCCTATGGGATCTTATCCTAATTCTCCATTATGAGGGAGGCTTCTTTACTGCTCACCAGGCCGTAGGGGAATTATCCCTATGAGGTCACATACTGTGTGATACCAATTCAGGTGAAACTCTTTGTTGCTTTTTAATTTTTATCCTGCTAACTGCAAACCTTTAATGCTGGCTTTTCTGTCACTGGCTTTTATATGAAATCCCATTGCTTCCTTTAAGACTTGTTTATCCTCACATCACCCATGCAGGCAGAAGTCAGAAGACACTAATTTAGCCTAGCATAACCTATTGATTTATAAACCAGCAAAGATCCAGGCTGGCAGAGAGGAGCAACAGGAAAAGTCATATAGCAGTAAGTGCACATGTTCCACTCTTGTAAATGTTAGGGGAGCATGAGGAATTGGGGCCCAGCCTCATAGATCAGACTTAGAGATCTCAAGGCTAGTCAGTACTCTACTACTGTCAAAAAAACTATGCAGGCGCATGAATGAACTGCCCATGCAGAAAGAGGGGAGAGTTAGGTGTCTAAGAACAGCATCTGAAACATCCAGCTGAACTCAGAAGAGCCTGGAATAGCAAAGGGGAAAGCTGCAGGGGTGGGGAATTTCAGTCTCACTTCTCTTGAGGACTGAGGTACCTTATTCCAGACCCAAACTGATGTCAAAATCAGTTAATTTTTTAATAAGAGAGATGGGCACAGTCAAAGCCGAGTGACTGGCTACAGTAGTTCTCCTGGGAGGAGAGTGCAAAGTGATCAACTGGTTTTAAGTGCTAGACTGGGAAAAAATGCACTAAAATAAGCAGAAGAACCAGGAAAGAGCTAAAAGAATGTTTTTGCTGGGCCCCACAAGCAAACAACAACAAAAAAAACAGGCCTGGAGATGCCTCTTTATTCCTAACATGGCAGCAGGCATTGGTCTGGATATTCAGGAGGATTTAAGACATAATTCCCCTTGATTTCAGATTTCAGATAAGACTTCAGCACACAGACACATTGCCAGACCTGGGATTTTTTTTGGTTTATTTTAACATTTGAAACTGAGCAGGGGGGTGCCAAGAAACAGCTGACTGCCTTCTTGGTTTCTCCTTCAAGAAAGAAACACTTTTGTTGAAAAATCCTGAATGTTTTCTGATATTCATCCAACAGTAAAAGCAGCAGTTCCTAAGCAAATCCATTACATCAGGATTCGATTTGAGAGATGAGACGGGGATGGGGGTGGGGATGGAATCAGAGGGTGTGGGCTCTGTTCCTGGCACTATCAGCAATGACCTCAGGCAGATTTCTGCTAAGTATGTCTTGACATACCCATAAGGTAGAGACAGACAGACCCTGCCATATCTGTAAGTCAAAAGTGTCACTTAAGTATTATTATTATTATTATTATTATTATTATTATTATTATTAACATTAACATTAACATTTTTACCTCTTTCCGAGTTTCAAGTGCCAGTTTTGGCTTGATTTTTTGCAAACTGTAAGTTTGGCCAATGAGTGCTATGAATAGAAAATGAACAGCGGCTGAAATTTGGAACAGATTATCTCAGACAGGGAGAAGGAAGTTAATTTATGGAGGAAGCCCTGAGAAACCGCCTGCTGTAAATCCTCTGTCTGTGCTCTGCTCAGAGATTCATTATATTCAATTGTCTGGCATAAAATGCAGCCTTTCCTCTAGGAGTAATAAGTGAAATAATCCATAAACTTATCATAAAAATGTTATTTCTTGAATGCATCCCCTTTGCAAGAAGAATGCCTTTGTTAGTATAAGGGCTCGATTTATTTATGTTTATTTATTTGTCCCAGGCTCGTTTAACCACTGCCTTGCTGCATTAACAAGGGTCTGGGGAAGAGCACTGAGTGAGTTTGATAAATGGATTTTCATAACAACATTTTTGCTGGGACCCCTCTCAGCTGTTTTCACAGGGAAGGGCAGCTTCCTGCTCCGAGACCACCACGTCCAGCCCAAACCCTCCCCTGGCTGCAGTGGCCATGGGAATAGCTGACCTCTCTAATCCATTTGGTGCTTGTGATCGCTGTGCCTCATCAGGGAAAGCCCAAGCTTCTCTTCAGCAGGTCTGAGTTTAGCCACAGGTGGGTGGCTTTTAAATTTGATGTCTGTTCACAGAGCACAGACCAGGAAGAGCCTCTCCCTGGCCCATCTTTGGTGGCTGGGTGGGAAAAGCCAGTTGTCTCAATCTCTTCCAGCTGTAGCAGAGGCTTAGGCCCAGGCCAGGAGCTCCCCCTGCCCTTGTCCTGAACTACACCTGACCCCAAGGGATCTCACTGGAAAATCTTGGCGAAATCCCCCTGCCCCCAAGGATAACATGATGCTGCTGTCTCTCAAAAGCACACAGGGCTGTTTGGGGTGTGGGCAGAGAGGTGGCTCCCAAAGCTGGTCCATGCCCTGGGCAATGCACACAACATCTAAGGGACAGTAGGGCCACAGGGACTCAGCAGAAAATTTTCTTGTTTTTACTTATGTTCCCAGAAAAATCTTGAGTGGCTGGGGCTCTAGGGTACGTGGTTTTTGGTGGCTTTACTTTGCAAAAGCACGTCCCAGAGTCCCATGATGGAGAGCATCTGACATTAATCACAAGTAGGCCCCATACCCGGTGCTGCTTCCACTTGCTGAGCAGTTGGTATTTCTGAAGAACCTGAGAAGCAGGTTCCTTGCATTCATGCAAACACAGACTCAAGAAGCAGAGCTCTCCTCTTCACTTACCAATATTTTCTGGCCTCCGCCATGCGAATTTCTTATTAAGAAGCAGAGTCAGCAATGTGTCCTCGTGATTTGTGTCTTCTCTCTCTGGCAGCACTCGGTTCTCTGCAGCACATAAAACATATCTTTCTCAATCTCATCAAATTAAGAATCAATTAATCAATTGATGCAATTAATCTCTTAATCAAATTAAGAAAGCTAAGAAGTGGAATGAAAATGTCTCCTGTCAGCACTCATCAGGGTGGAAAAGGAAGGTGTGTGAGCACAGAATAAAACGTCCAGGCAGTGAGGGCTGCGCAGTGGAAGGGTGTGGGATGGGGAGCCCTCCCTGCCAGCCCTGGGCTGCTGGCCAGTCCCACTGCAGCATCATCAGCATGACTGCCTGCAGAAGCTGGAGACATCACCTTGATTTACACAGTCCCGAGCTCTTCTGCAAGGTGGGAGGAGTGGGCGCCTCTGCAAAGCCAGACAGGCACCCACAACATCCTCTCTTCTCAAAACTGCAGGAGTTCCCCCGCTCACTCCCTGCACCTTCCCAGGGCTGACAGAGGTGGGAAGTTCCTTCTCACTGGACTGAAAAGCCCTGCAGCCCCAGAGCCCTTCCTTGAGCTTGACTCAGCCTTGGGGCTTCTCTGTCTGATTACCAGCGGTATTGAAGGATTCCTCCTGAACAGAGTTCAAGTGTGGAGGAACTTAAAGCAAGACCATGCAGAATTTTTCCAGGAAAAACCTCCCCAGAATGCTGTCATAAAGCAATTTGGAGCTCTCTAAGAGGCCCCTTTAGGTAACTTTTTCAGTGGTTTTACTTTAGTGGTTGTGGCTATGCCCTCAAATGAATGGTTGTGAAGGTCAAGAGTTCAGCAGAAACCAACAGACACAGGGGATGGGGCATCTCAGTGCCTTGAAGGTTCTGAGACCCTCCCAGCCCTGCTCAACAGATTTCCAGAGTCATCTGACACTAGAATGTTGCACTAATTTTTGAGAATGATAGATCAGGAGATCTATCTTTATAGGGAGAGTGGCCATTCAAAAAATCTTTGGTCTGAACAGCCCTACCCTACACCCAGACCCTACAGAGCCCTAGGAGATGCCTACAGAATTCCATGGAAAATACTAAGATTCTACAGAAAGGCTTTTTTCCTCTTCTTCCAGGATCTTTAGGACTTCTGCTCAATGCAGTCTCATATGTCTATCAGCTCTCTGAGGGGATGAATGCAATTATTCTAGGTACACATGAAACGAAATGTTGCACCAGATGAGCCTGAAGGATGCTCAAGAGTATGAGGGAATCAGCTCCATTAGCCAACGTCACATAAATCTGCAGAAGCTGAGGGACACTGGCCAAAGGGATGTTTTAAGTGTTTGGCCAGACTCAACCCTGCCTCACGCTGCGGCTGAAGCTGCTGGTCCCGATTGTGATCTCTGGAAATAAAGCCAGGGGAGCGAGCAGAGCAACCTGCAGTTAGCATGGAGTGCCATAAACCTAAGTCCTAAGTATGAAGGACAGTTACAATTTTAAAATAGTTACTTATAGTTTTTTGGGGGATTTGCTACAGGAAAAAAAAAGTCCAAAACCAGTGCTATAAACACTCCAGTAAAAGCTAAACAGAAGCAGGATTTAGATAGAGTGGCCTGGGGAATGTTTTGGTTGTAATTACAAAAATAAATAGGTGGTGTAAGAGGAAAAATCATTTGAAAAGAAATGTTATTTTCAAGCCTATATTTAGCGGCTCTTTCTTTTCTTCCACTGCCAAGCCTCTTTGAGAAAGAGCACTAATGATTGACATTTCCTTGCAGTATAAATTCAAGTTAAGATTAATTTAAATTACTGGAGAAGTACATATAAAAAGAAGTTCTGTGAAGAAAAAAAAGTTCAGCATTGCTGTACTACTGACATTTATGAGCTGTCAAATCTCATATGGTACATACTGGAATTGCTACTCTCTGATATTTTATTTTTATTTTATTTTTTTTAATGTGAGAGCAAGATCTACCCTTACCAGATTTCAACAGATCTGATCTTTTCACTGATTATCAGAAGGTGTCATACAGCCAGCTGCAGAGCAGAAGGACAGCTTTAGCTCATGATAATACAAAAAAGCCTCTCATTAGCACCCATGTTAACAGATTGTTCAGTACAGCTTGGGGTTCATTTTGTTTTCTTTCCCAGAAAAGTGAGTCTTGCATTGGCCATGGCAAGCAACAAACAAAAAGGTAACCACCTACCTGTATCATGTAGCCTGTATTCCTGCTTACCTTGGAGTAAAAAAGGGTCTCCATGTGTAGATGGGACACACAGAGCCATGGTCAGGATGGTTAGCACTGCCAGACACAGCTGGGCAGACCACATCTTCTCCACGTTCCCAGCGCCCAAAAGCATCCTTCCTTCAGGCACGGTGGAGGACTTCAATGCAACCAGCACCAGATGAGCTCACTTTTAAGAGGCAGTGGATGTGCCGTGATTGCAAATGGCCTTTGGAGGAGGGGAGAAAAATATCTCTTGAGATATAATTCAACCTGTCAATATGATTCACTCCACTGGGAGTGGACAGAACAACCCAGTAACATATGTCAGATGGAACCTGTTCAATATATCTCATATCAGACTGATCTAATGAATTCTGATGTTCCCACAGGCGTGCACTGTTCTCGCACGTTGATATACGTTCCATACATACACACATTAAAAATACTTTCTCAGGGCTGCTGCTTTAACAGAGTTCAGGCATGAGGACTCCCACGTTAGCAAGGAAGGTTTGTCTAATGTACAAGCTGCCATATTTTACCAGTTTGGACAGAATCAGGTTAATGGGGTTTTGTAATTTATCATCTCACTTCCTAGTGCCTATATTAATTAATGTGAGATATAATGACTGCTGAAGTGATGGGAAACAGAGGGGGAGAGCTCTTTTCATTTAACTGATTGGAGAACGTTGAGTGTGTCTTGCTCACTGTGACTTATGGCTTTGTCAACGGGAAAGGCATCACATCCTATTTTGGGATTATGTCTGAGTGGGGGAGTGCAGATTTGGCAGTAGGTATGGAATACGTCAAGGATGGGCAAGAGTCTTTAGTTTTTTTCTTGGGAAAAAAAAAGAAGTGGAAGGTCAGATGCTGGTTCTGGCTACACAGCCTTGTTTTATAATTTTAGAGCAAAGTACAGCGACACATTGCATATATTCCATGTCTTCTCAGGCCATGACTACATTTTGGTTTGCCTTCCATTTGTTGCCTATCCATCACTATTGATCAGGGACCTGTAACTACTTTTCCACAACAACCTTATCAAGAAAAATATTGTAATAGTAACAGTTCTAGGCTTTGTTCTTCACTTCTCCTCTTCCTGCAGAACTGAATCATCTGTACTTGTCGTGGTTTAAGGCCAGCCAGGAGCTAAGCGCCACACAGCTGCCAGCTCACTCCCCCCATGGTGGGATGGGGGAGAGGATCAGGGAAAGTTCTGATTTGTACATACACTCCTAGTAACTCACTGTGTGTGCTTTTTTGACACCACGTCATGCCAGATTACCCAAGATAGCTTCATCTGATGGTACCTGCACTTCATCTCAACTAAAAGTATAATTTCCATGTTTGGGCTTTTGGCTTCAGGTCCCCAGCTCTCCCTACAACTTGTTCTGTACCTTCGATAGGTATTGAATGGCAAGCCTTTTAATAACCCTTGTAATATTTTATTATTTGATATATTATCAACAAAATGGAAGGGAAGAGGCTCAGATTTTTGTGGGATATGCCTATAAAAATGAATGTGATGCTTTCATTAACAAAGGGTTCTCTACTGAGAAAATATTCCAAAATTTTCCCTGGAGGTATAATATGTACCAATTAACCAAACCTGTAGTTTCCCTCAGACTTGTGAACTAATGAACAGCTATCTGAACTACTCACCCACCCTCTTCACAAAGTTTTGTTTGGACTGAGGGACACCTATGTCCTACTGGAACACTTTTCCAGCCACCTCCATCTCCCCAAGGTACCAGTTTCAAGCTGGTCAGAGGTTAGCAGCCCCCATGAAGCAGAGGCCATAGCTGAATGAGCACCACTTCGCACAGGAGTCCAATCTGGAAAATAGCAGCTTTTACTCAAAACTATATCCCTAAGGGAAGGTTAAGTCTATTTCAATTTAGTGCTAAATGGCTAAATCTCAATCTGTCTTGAGACTTCTCTGAAATCGACTTTGCCTGGATAGAGAAGGTGAGTTTCTCCATCTCATCTAAGTTGATGCAAAATCCACAGATATCTGACTGTTTTTCCCCACCTTTGGATACAAGATCTCATGGGCTATTGGCAGGCTCTTTCAGGATGTTGAGCTATTCCTAGGATTTCCTCTTTCACTGCAGAGAAACTTCAGTTCTGGATCATTGCAACGGTTCAGCCCCCAAAGCAACTCATAGAGCGAGTAGAGAGTGTGCCAGACCTTTCAAGTGATGCCTCTGGTGAAGATGGGGAACTGCCATGCCAGATTTACATATGAGAAGTAAGATGACTAGATGCTGTGAGGAGTGGATGCTTTCAGGGGATGGGTTGGTGGAGAGAAGCCTGGCAGTTGCTGCCAGGCACTAGTGGAATTTTTTTATTTTTTGAAGTTAGGAGGTAATTGATTTGCACTGTTGGGCTTCTCTAAGGCTCCCACTTGGAAAATTCCTTTGCTTTTACCCCATTAGTCCAGGTGCTGGAAATAATATTACATTTTATTTTTCTTATGTATTTTATTCTCTGTAGGAAAACAATGCAGTCTCCACATTCTTTCTATTACTTCACTCATTGATAATGTCTGATAACTGATAATGTCATTGATAAGCATCCATTTGTGTCTGGAGTTCAAGGATAACGAGAACATGAAAATGTGAGCTCCATCTCTACCTCCCATGGTCCCAATCTGTCCCTTCATGTTGAAGTTTCTCTTTTCACCATGCTATGTGGAATTCAGGTAACCCAATGTGTCCAGACTGGAAAAATGGCAAGGGTCAACAGCCCAGAGGGCAGGAATAGAGAGGACTTGGTTCAAGCAGGGCCACCAAATCCAGCTGCACCAGCTCTCAGTGTGAGAGAGATGAACAAGAGTGTCAGTGCCTGGAGGGTGTCAATGGTCCTGAGCATCTTCAGGTGGGGCCTCAGTGCCCTCTCTGCCTATCATCTCAGGAGACCCATTTAATCTCAGTCTGATCTCCTGTTTTTCCCAGAGCTATGCTGGAGGAATTCTGGTCTGGAGTTCAGCTATATCTTTGCCTGCCCATGGTTCCTATTGATCTGGACCCAGACCAGCAAGTGGACTTCCCTGCTGGACTGTGGATATGTCCCATCTCTGTGGACCTGTCTGGTGCTCACTGAGCTTTGTTTGTCTCTGCCTGCTGTCATCAGGCCTGATGCTGACCAGTGTATTGGTTTCCATCTTGACCTGGGATCTGCCTCATCATCATGGGCTTCCCTGAACGCTGGGGCTCTTGACTGAACCTGGCTGCAGTCTCTGATCCTGCCCTGCTTGCCCCTCTCAGGATGGGTCTCTGTCCTGCTGCATGGTCTTATGAACCCCACATAAGCATAGCTTGTTTCATCTCAAAGCTAACAACCTGCTGAGGGAGGACCTGTTAGGGAAGTGCCTTAAGGTGCTTAAGAAAACACATGTGAACGGTGCCACCGCCTCCTACTGCATGTCTGCTCCTCTGGGTCTCCAACCATGCTATATCTGGTAGGAATCAGAGGAGAAGGTACTGAAATGCACCCTGTGCTCTACAGCCTTCATCTCTTACACTTTTAATGTCAGATTTCTCCTCTAACCAAGTCACTTCTATGCTGGAGCCAACTTGAGAGAACAAAGGCCACTCCAGAATGTTATTTAAAGCATGACTGGAAAGTGCTCAGATATCCCACTGCTGTGTGGTGCAAAGTCCCAGCCAGAGCAACCTGACTGCAGAGAAGAATTAAAATGTTGTACTCATAAGCCAGGAGACTAACTCCCCTTGCAACTTCCTAAGAAGGAGGGAGTGCATAATGGGGAGGGAGATGTAGTTATAAATGAGATTCTCTGTTCCTTAGGGGACTGTTAAAACCAGTCAATATTTATGAAGCTTTTAGTCTGACTCACGCAATTTGTTCCCACTTCTATGTGCTTGTCTTTGGGGCTCAGCTGTTGCTTGGCCTGTTACTGATATAAAATTAGATGCTGTGGTTCAACTGTATCCTTGCTCAGAGAAAGAAAAGGGAAAGGTCCAAGGCAGCGTGTAGAGCAGCTCAGCTGCCACCTCACTGCAGGCAGCCAAGGATCACACACAGAGGGAAGCGCCACCAGCTCACACCCGATGGGCAGTGTACTAAAGAGAACCAGTTCCTTGAGGTTAAGGCTGTGGAGGTAAGGATTGAAGATGTGCTGCCTGCCTGGCTTTCACTTCCAGTCCAGGGTTTGCCAGGAAACCATTCAACTTCTCAGAGAGCAAGCCAGCTCCAAACTGTTGCCCTGGAGTGAGGGGCTGAAAGAGTAAATCAGGAATCTAAAGGTGTTGGATGTGGGAGGAGGCAGCCTATGGAGAAAACAGGGAGCAGAGGCAGTCATGCCCTAGTTCTCACTTCTGCCTCTTAATCCTGAACTGAAACACCTCCTCCAGACAGCCTCCCTACTGACTGGGGTGACTTGGCTGAGGTCCCTGGTGAGGAGAGAAAGGCAATATGGAAACCTCTTCTGCTTTGAAATGTGCCATGACCTGCTGGTCTCAAAGATGCTTCCAGTGATGCTCCTGAATGGTAAATGTTGGTGTGCCTGTGTAGGACTAATCTGACCTCCATGCCAGGACAGTGTCCTGAAGAGGCATGATCTGGAATGACCTGGTTAAACCACCAGATTTACCCTCAGCTTGACCTCTCTCTCTTCTCCCTTGCCTTCTCCAAGCCCCGAGTTCATCCTGGATGACGAATGTAGCTTGTGTATGTGTTACTTTGTGTAAAGACAAGGCTGGGTAATTTCCTGCTAAAAATACCAGTAAGGGCACTTTTAAGGTTGTAGAGGTTATCTCTGTCTGCTAACAGTGCCAGCTTTCACTGCCATTCCCCTTTCCCTCTCTTCCTGCTCTAAGTTACCATCTGGTGTTTTGGTTTATTGAGAAATATTGCCCATTTTTTTGGAAAACTGTCACTACAAGTCACCCAAGGCAGGGCTTGGAGCATACACAGAGCTGTAGTGTTTTGGTGAAACTTGTGCAGATAACCATAAACTTTGCCCTTTGGACAGCCTGTCTTCTTACTTAGCTTTTCATTTGCACCTTGATCTACTGAGACTCTGTGAGAGTTCTGCACATGCAAAAGGGTGTTTTGTTGTATGAACAACAATATGTTATGGCTGTAGACTTGCACATACAAAGTGATTTGAAATGAGGGCTCCAACTGAGGCTGTAGGACATATTCATGCCTTACCACCCTGCAGCTTGGGAAGCAAAGCTGGCACAAGTA